AGATACTCTGCCTCTTATGCTTGCATTACCAAGACAACAACTATGCTCAAATGTTCCTCTTGGTCTTGCAAGTGATGTTCCACAGAGAAACGTCAATGGACAAAACTGAACGCTTAGAAAGAAAGCTGTGAAGTGACCTTACATGCACAGCAAAAACAAGCCTTATCTTCAGAAGCATCTTCTGGATCAAAGAGTTTGCAGTCTTTCTTTCCAGCTTCTAGGATTGGTTTTGATTTGGTCTGGGTTTGGTTTTTCCCCCGTATTATCTAAATGTTTCCTGCAGTTTTCTGCCTTCTTTGTCAGTAGATTTTGCTTTTTTTCATCTTGTGCCCCAGTGTTTCTCCCAGAGTCCAGTTTAATCACTCAGAATTTTACTTTCATGTAGGCTGCATACTGTTCTGGGGTTTTGCCTTTTCTCATACAATCAGTTTATCGGTTCCTTCTGTCATTCCAAATAAGCAGCAAATTGCAGTTGGCGGGGGGAAGGGGACACTGGAAAGCGTTATGAGAGTTCACCCAGTGATGGAGCAGCAACACTGACCAAGCCTGAAATGAGAGCCAGCCTGTGGCCAGGAGAGGTTAGTGCCTTTAACCTCTGCATATGTGTATCCTGGCTAGAGCCAAGTCTCATTTTGACTACTACTAATGGACACTGGAAAACCATCATGATGGCAGTCTCTACTTTGGAAAAATTCAGGGATGAACAGCAAAGAAACGGGACAGTCAATAGCAAGGGTCCATCTGCAGGAAAGTCTGGAGATCACAGCCTGGAGTAGAAGGTGCTGTACCACTGACTGAGGTTGTCCCAGGACATAAATAACAGAACAGGCACCTGGTGGAGCTGAAGGGACAACTGTGTAGTGGTTGCAATGTAGAGAACTCTGACAGTCAGACTGGTCTGAGTGGAGAGTGAATAGCAAGGTCTAGGTAAGGACACACAATAAAGGACAGCTGAAGAAGAACTAAAAGAATAGTAGACGTTGTTAGCACCAAAATCTGGAGGTCACCAGAATCATGGCATATCTACAGGTAGTTTCTCAAGAAACCTGGAAAAAACTCTGAAAAAAATAAAGAACAAACTAAAACAAGGGATACAACTTCCTTATTTTGTTTTTGGTGTTCTAGCCCTGAAAAATGTCACTGCAGAGGCAGAAATATCACTAGCCTTTCTCTATTACACAGAGGCTGAGATGCTCCCTCTCCCCTTCTCTTCTTCAGATCTTCATCCATAAAGAGGAGACACTGTTTCCTTGAGAAACCAGAGACTTAGAAGACCAGCAGGGATGTTTGCCTGTAACCTGGTGAGCCATGGAGCTCAGACTAGTGAAGCTGCCCAGTCCAGCAGGGGATGAGTGGAAGAGAGCTCCTCAGTAAAGCACTGCGCTATGTTGGAGGAGAAACAGAAGGGCTATGTGGCCTTTCAAAAGGGATAGAAGAACTCCTTGACAAGCAGTAGAAGATGGAAAAACTGGACTGTTTTTGAGATACCTTGCCTTGGTATTTCTAAGGGCAATGTGCAGTCTCTGAATGATAAACTACCAGAAATGTGGTTGATATCAACCTTTAGAGATGCTGTGATGAAAGGGCAGAAGGGGAAAACATCCTCTGTACTATCACTCCTGAGCCAGGAGTGCTTGGGGTGGAAATGCCACCCTCCTGCCTTGGGCCTGCTGTTTCATAGTTGTCCATTACTGGGGATTTTATCCTTCATCCTGAGATGTCCCTTTGTGTCCATTGCAGTAAACAGGGCCCTGGAGCCAGATGGTCCCACTAGCAGTCCTGATGCTGGCAAGACAAGAGCACAGCACTTGGCGCTTTACTACCTCCTCCTTTACATTGTGTATAACTGATGGGTTTGGTGTTAAAAAAGGACAAATATGATAAATAGCCACGGAAAAGAAATCCATGTAGATGGATATTCTACTGTAAACCATATGTCTCTGTCCAGGGCTACTGTAGAGTTGTTACTGAAAACAGCAGGGTAATAAAAAGCAAGATTTCCTACATTTTCAATAATGTTTTCTGACCACGTGTAATGTCAAGTGTTGAGAGACTGGCCAGAATTTCAGCCCTGGAGGCTAGACAAAACCTCCTCATGTCACGCCTTCTGGGATCTTTTGCTAAGGGGAGGGAACCATTGCTGTCAGCCAGTGCTTGCCTGGCACCAGGCCCTCTTCCTCCTTCTGGTGGTGAATCTGCACCTCCAAAAGAAGCCAGTTTTCACTGCAGTCCTGGTGATCATAAAGCTAAAGGTGTTGGCCCTTGACATTAGCTCTGCAAGGACAGAAATACTACTCAGAGGAAGAACACATGCACAATCTGAGGAAAATCCAGAATATTAGTGCCAGCAAAGAGTTAAATCCCCAGTTTTCCAGGCTTCGTGGTGACAGAGTCAACCCACCAAATTACTTTCTCACCTCACTGATGAGGATATCCTATGCAGAATAGCATCTGGACATCCATTTACCAAACTCCACTCATGGCTAGGCATATCAGTGCAGGTATTCCTTTGCAGATCTTCCTCCACTCCCCACAGAATGACCTGCCTTTGCTGTCTGAAAGCTAGTCCAGCTAATTATCTACCTCAATTAACATTCATATAGAGAGGATTTACCAGAGGCATTTCTGCTCTAACAATGCTCTGACCATCAGCTTTCACTCTATAATCTGTAACAGCTGTCATTGTCACGTTTTCCCTCTATGTCGGTTCTCTGAATTCCTTGATTTATACTTTCTGCAGCAAAAACTTACAGGATGAAAGCGAAAAGTGCTTAGGCAAGCAAGGACTGAGATCAATGAAATCAAGGGTTTGGTACTCCCAGGTGAGGAGCAAGACAGGAGCAAACGTGATATGTTCTAAGTTAGAAGCAGTTCTATCCCATTACCTGCATCCAGGTAAGTGAGCAGTTAACTGTTGCCCCTAATAACAAATGCTTTCTGCAACTGAAAATAAATAATTTTTTATCTTACACAATTGCAATCCAAGGTAATAGTGGTTTATTGCCCTGTCAAAAAGAACACTGTGGGTAGGGAATCCATACAAATGGAAATAGTCGTAGAATCGTTTCGTCCTCTACCTGAGTAGATGGAATAAAGAGACCTTGCTCCCTTGGAGCTCTGGCTCTTGGGAATTGGCAAGCTGGGAAGATTGCCTTTTCACTAGCAGCTATGGTTGTAATAGGGGTTTTCAGTTGGATTTCTGCCCCACTGGGTTTGTAGAAGTGAAGCGTTACAGGAGAAAAGAGCGTTTGCAATCCCTCCTCCCAAGCCTTATCATCTTTTCTTAACTGCTAAGAGGAGCTGAAGGATTTGTTCCCATGCCCATCTTCCCTGAGCTATTTTTCATAGTGGATTGAGAAAGGCTTAAATGTTACAGATGGCTGAAAATCTTGTGGCATCAGCACGGAATGGCTGTTTCTGTTCATGCTAAGAGCCCAAAATGAGCAGCAGCAGCAGCAACATGCCACTGTGAGCCTCGCTCTGGTCACTTTAGTGTCTATCAGATGAAAAAAATGAACAAATATATCTGATAGCAAACACCATCCAAGGCCTTTTTGGCACAAATTTGCCACTTTTTAAAGTCTGGTTTGGCTACCTCAGTGATAGCAAAGTGACTCATCCAGACAGTTGCCGGTATTGTTAATGTGTTTTTTAGCAAAGATGAACCTAACTATAGGATATTTGTGTGTTATAGCAAACTTCCAAAGCCTCTTGTGTTTTAGACCACTTGGCTACCAGGTCCCATTAACTTAGCTCTCTACGATAACTGGGAGCCCACATGCCAGTGTCACCTAGGCTTTTCTTCACTGATTGGTTTTGGAGCAGCATTAAAGGTGACCAACATCTGACTCACTGCTTTCTGTCTGTTAACCAAAGCAGGAGGTGAATGTTCAGCATCCTATATGTGTGTACGTTGCTTGAAAGGCTTCCCAGTCTTGCTTAAACAAGTTCTTCCTTATACATGGTCTCTTCAGGACCCGCTTCCTTTTTTCCTATTTCTTCCTTCTGTTAGAATGTAGCTGACTCTGGTAGGATGAGAAACCAGCACAGCAAGCTGATTTTCCTTCTCACATCAAGGAATAGCAGTGAATACAGATGCTTGGTGCAAGAGTACCTGTAACTGAAACCCATCACTGGAGCCATGGAGCCCTCTGCTCCCCATCCTCCTCCATGCAAGAAAGGTATTTGCCAGCAGACATTTCCACACACATGTGCGCCACATCTACGGTCTTCTCTGTAACAAAGTGTGTAAGGAGGTGTTCAGCCAGACCTGTGTTTGAATTGTTTGTCTAACAGCAGAAAAAGTGATCTTTTTAAAATAAAAATATTCATATTTCAAGAGATGCATTTGTTGTAGACAGATTTCAGGGTGTTTCTGAGCTGTTGAGCTTGGCTAAAATTATTAAATGAGAGGTTCTAAAACTCACTTTCCATGTTTTTCTGCAGATATGTTTTTAGCATCAACCATGATTATGCCTTGGACTGGCATCCTAGGAAAGCAGATGGGGTTTCCTGGCATCGGGTTTCCAAGGCTTTTGACTGTTGGAGTCTACTGCATCCTGTTGTAAGGGGAATGTATTTTGCAGTGCCATAACAGGATTCTATCTATTTCCAAATATAGTGGTTTCCTCCTAATTCTCAGACATGAGGTACTGCCAGGAATGGCTCAGCCTGACACCATTTTACTACAATGGACATGTGAAAATAGCCTGATTTCTGCATTGAGTCTCCAAGCCAGAAATTAATTGAGCCAAGAACAAATAAGTAATTCCTTATTTATTCCTCAGTTGAGGTTTGCTGCTGTTGTCAGGTCACAACAGCTTGGGGAGGGGAATTGCTCTCCATGCCTCAAAGAAAATATTACTCACTGTTACAGGAAACTAATAAAAGGCAGGATTCCTTTTCCTCTGGGAAAAGGACATCTCCCCCTCTTTGTAATTTACACTAGTGTTTTGTAATCTCTGTCTCTTAAGTACAAGTGGTTGGACTATAACTACTACCTTTAAAAACAGTGGAAATCTTCAGATGCATGATTTCCTTGGAGTTTTCTCTCACATCTGACCCCACAGTGGTTATCCTATGGGGAAGCTGTAAAGGTCACATGCAGGCACAAATGCAGGGACAATGTGCCTGGAAGCACTGAGCTTGTGAGTTGAACCCTTAAGTTTCCATGTGGAAGCACTGGGGAGTTAGTGTCCTACAGAACACTGTTTCATCACTGAAGCCATGGAATCTGCACCACAGTCTCCTTCTGAAGCTCTCTTTCCTCTACCATGCTGGCAACATGTCCTGCTAGTACCCACAGCCCAATATGCTCTCTTCCTTCACAGATGCTTTTGAAAAGCTCTTTATCTTGTGATTCAGACTCTGTTCACAGGAAGTTTACTCTTGGCTTTACATTTCAGGTGAGTGCCAGGACATTTCCTAGCAATGTGAGCATTGCTTCTACGTAGTAAACCCTGAAAGGAGAGGCTTCTTCAGGGCTCAGTCTTCTCTGTTGCAGGCTTCTTCTCTCTGACAGCTGAGGAGACTCTCCATGGTTTCTGTACAGCAGGGCAGATGTGGAGCTCAGGAGCCTGGCTTGTGTTCCACCAGCAGAGACTCACGCTCTGCTAGCACTCACCTCTGGCTGGGCAGTAACCTGTGGTCATGTGCTTGAACTTGCTACAGTAAAGGGGCACTGCAAAGATGCCTCCTTGACTAAGATTGCCTTTAGGAACAGGCTAAGTTAGAGCGGTGCCGGTGGGGACACAAGGCAGTCCTGCTGCAGCAAGGGAGGTGCCCAGGCCATCCCTTCCTGCTCAGGGCTCCTCAAGACGCTCTTCTGCTTGGTGAGACAAGGGGCTGCATCAGGATTCTGCTCCATGCCTCTGCTAGTCCTCCACACACATGGCACGTGCCCACTGTTACTGCAGTGCTTTTATCTTAGTACTTTAGAGTTCTGTACTACTTTTAGTTTTAGCATTGTTTGATAAGCAACTGGCCCCTTCCAGCATGGTGTTAAGCACCACTGAAATCATTCGCAATTGGTAGAGCCTGCCAATAGAGCCTAATTTCTGCCCCCCTCCTTGAGACAGCTTGTGGAGAACAACCAAGTGGCTATATAGTGGCATCCACAAAAATTATGCAATAGTATAGGGCAAAAAGCAAAGTGAAAACCCGTAGTAATCTGAAGTGTTGGGGAGATTTAAAAAACGTATAATTAGACAGGCATCAATGTGGCCAGGAAACCCTGTTTAGTGCCCCATTGTCTTTAGAAAAGGACCTGAATTTTATGCATGCAGCAAATAAGGGATTTACCAGAATATTAACAATATCCCCGTTCCTATATTAGAGAGCATTCTTGGTACAAATAGAAAGGTATTGCTTGCCACCCACGGTCTATTGCCCTTGCTGCTTAGAGACCCCAAGCACTTTGCATTTTGCCAGCCACTTGGAATATATATACTAGCTATAAAATGATACTTAAAGAGTTCCTGCACTTTGTACAAATGGCTATTTATGACCTGCCATCAATGTTGTTCTACAGAGAGGCACAGGGAGGGGGGATTGATGGAGCAGTGAGCCCAATCCATCAGTCACTTCGCTACAAACTCTAAACAGATTTTAATTGTGAGGCCAGATTTACTCCAGCCATCTGTATACGAAACGTGTCTCCCCACTGAAATAGAGAAATACTTTATACTGAATGCTCTTTTGCAATGTATATATTGTGTCAATGTCAATAAAATATTTGTCACAGCAAAAATGTAAGCTTGTCTGCTGCATAACAGAGAGCCCCAGTGGAAGGCAACTTTCCCAGATTTAATGCTGACTAAACTTCTCAGTTTCACAGGAAATTAATGGGGCTGGGGAAGAGCCTTGCAATTAGAGGAGCAGGGCTACAAATTCTTCCCTTGCTGTTGGCTTGCTTTATTGGAAAGATCTCAGTTCTCAGAGCAGGACTGGGCTGATGGCTGGAATTGCTGGGAGGTTTTATTTCTCCTCAGAGCAATAAAAATAAAGCCTCTGACATGACAAGCTTGCCTACACCTCCAACCCCTGTTCTGATAGAGCACCCCAGGTTGTTCCCCACCCAGAGCAGTGGATTTACTCCCACAACCCCTTTAAACCATGGCAGTGCTGTTGAGACTGCCAACATGGGAGCCAATTAGGTGGTACTACAAAGATGTTGATGCCTGTGGTCTGATATCTATCAGTTCATCTCAAATATCCCCTGAACTGCTGTAAGTGGTAGAAGCTTTTAATCACTGTTAAGCTTGACTCAGTTCAGACCATTTTCTTGAGCTATCCTGTCCTTTTGTTCACCTCACTTCCAGGATGATTAAAACTCTGTTTACTGTAAGGGGACACTATCTTCTCTAAATTTGATTCCTTTCCTCATCACTAGCCATAATACAGTTATTTCTGAAGATCCTTAGGTTAAATGACTTTCATGTAACATGCCCCTCTTTTGTGGCACACCCAATCTGCCACCTAAGATCTCCGTACAGCATTGCATAGTCACCATGCTTGAGACCTGGTATCCAGTCCTGCCACAGCTCAGCTTTTTCTGGTGCTCAAAGTGGCACCACATTACACCATCCTCTCTGCGTTACCATGGACAGGCCCTCTCTGCCACTCACAGATATTTTTTAAACCAGGTGGAACAGTTCTACTTTGCAATTCCTAATGCACCTGCTAATAATAAAGACAAAATTGTTCAGTACAGCCTGAAAGGTTGGTCTTCCAGACTCTTAGGAGTGGTCTGTAGGTGAGGAACATTTCCTCCACAATCAAGTGACCAGTGCATGCAGGCATCTTTTTTCTTTTCTCTGAAGGTGCAAATCCTACCAGTCCCATCTCATCCCCACTTGTATTTTTCTCCTATGACTTTGTGGGTACCACTCACTCATCTGTTGTGGTTTTCAGTTATTCATATAGCTGATGGAACAGGACTTCAGTCTAATTAACCTGAATGGATGCTGGCATGCTAAATGTTGCTTACTCTGATTTATAGAGGACGCCTCAAAAGCTTATCCTTGCAAGGCTTTTCAGAATCCCATTTGCTTTTCACTTTCTGCTGTTTGCTTTTTCCTTGGCATTTCTCTCTGATGGACAATGGAAACAGACATCTAGCTTGAAATTCAGTTTCTAGTCTCACATTTGTGTTGCAAGCTCCCAAATGGGATTTTTACTTGTTTTTGTTTCTTTCATAATATTTTTAATTAATTGCTGTGCTTTATTTTTATTGGTCTGTGTTATTTATGGGGCAGCAAAAGCTGGACTGAAGGTGAAGCCCTAGCCTTGGCTTTTCCCCCAAAATGGTGGCCCCTGTGCAGCAGTTATATGAATCTAAAACATTCATCACAGCTTCCTGTGTGCGTGAAGGGAAGAGCACATATCGATAGTCTCTTATCTCCATTTCTGTCCAGACGTGCTTAGTATCAGGGCAGCTAACTCTTAAATCACCAGATGAACTTCTGCACCATGTGATTCAGAGAGATCTGCCAAAGAAGAAAATAGTAGGTCAGTGTCAGTGCTTCTACGTTAACCTAGTGATGTTCATTGCACAGGCGTGAGCCTCGTCTCCTGGGTGATATTGAACAACCCAGGAATGATTCCAAACTCCTCAGGCTTTGCTCTCGCTAGGCTGGTGCACGTTTCACCCTTTTCCCATTAGTGGTTAAGTGAGACAAGGAGTATATGGATGTGAAGATGAGAAGGGATCCCAGTGAGGCAGGCAATAGTTTGGCAGTTAAATTTACCATCAAAACCACTCTAATGTATTCTAGAGCCATTTTAAGTGCACTGCATTAAACACAACTGGTAATACAAAACCAGAACAGAAATATGTCTTTGATTTGCTTGTGTTTTATTGCTCTAGTGTGTGCTCTGTAAACCACGTGAGCATTTGCATCCAGGATAAGGCATTAAATGACAGTGAAATTCAGTGGGCAATGTTCCTGCCTCTAGGCAGCAGGGTCGGAGGTCTGGATTTTCCTTCAAGCTCATACCTGCTGGTGGGAAAACAGAAAAGGGCTGGAGGGATAAGCTGCTTTTTGGAGCAAGAATTAAACAGAGAAACATTGTGAAATGCAACAGGGTGAAAATGAGGATTCACATCACTCATTCCAGAAACATTATAGCAGAGTATGTACATCTGACACATAACGAAACTTATTAAAATGACAATACAAAGTCAAACAGTGAAAAATTAGGAAAAGGCAGGGATCTTCAGGCAACCATTAGTTTGCTCCCTTATGCATTAACTACGTGGCTACACAGTGTTTTCCCTGCAGGGCCCTGTTTCATTCACTGCACAAGGCAGACAGTGCTAACTTAATAAATAACATTTCAGTATTTCCTTTCTCCTTTGTGTTTGCTCTGCTGCCTCCACAGTTGGGTTCCTCCTCTCCTGTGCCCCTGTCTGCTCTCTTGCTCCCTGTGCTCTCTGTACTCCCCTCCCTTGCTGGTGCTCCATGACAGATCCTCTCCTCAGATGCAACACCAAGCCTTGCTGCCCCTTTCCATCAGTGCCTCCAAGACATCCTGTCACATTAGTCCCAGCTCCCCTACATCCTCTTCAACCCACATCCAAGGGTTGCCAGTGTCTCTTCAAGGTTATCTCCCCACCATTATCTCTCCATCCACCCAACCTCAGTCACTGAGGACTGGCCCCACAACACCCTCACTCAGCCAGCCCCAGTCAACTGCAGGGGAAGGGATGAATGGAAGGACCAAGGAGTCACCTCTGCATCCAGGGGCTGCAGGGGTTGGACTGTGACATGGAGAGATGCCCTGCAGAGGGTTTGCGTGCCAGCACAGGCTCAGGACTCTGCAGTACAGGCAGATTCCCAGTTTTCATGAGCTTCTGAAGGTTTAAATCACCCAGGGAGTTCAGCAGCTGACGTCCCTCCCACAGGCTGTGAGCCTGGGCCCCATCTGATCCAACACAGAGGTGTCCATCTGAGCTAATCATCTGATGAGCCTTTTGTCGTCAAGGCAGAGAAAACACAGCAGTCCTGGGGCATGATTCATCCTAAGCAGGCAGTTAATATAGGTCAGCGGAAATGTTCCCTATGAGTGCCACTGGCTGTAAATGGAAATAGAGCCGGTGAAGCCGTGTCAATCAAATGCCACGCCGGTG